CTACCCCTTCAAGGACAGTGCATCAAACACAGGCGCGCAAAATGAAGGGGCACACACAGCCAAAGCGCATATGAATTCTTTTTACAAATTTTACAGGAATTAGGGTATGCCCCGATTTACATAATACACGCACACGCGCATAGCATTCGGGTTTGTTGCGCCCAATGGTGCAGAATCACATGTTGCTGTGAAAGGGCAAATGTGTCAACCCAGATTTGGGTTTATATATCCCCCAATTGTGACAACCTTTTTTTTCTTTTTTTTTTTTTTTATTCTTCATCACAATGAATCTCCTCCGTGGTGAAATTTCTTTCTCTGCTCATCCTCTCCTGCAGTAGGATATCTTCAATTGCCTTGGGAGTTATGTCCATCTGAGAGGGGAAGGGACGGAAAGGGGGTGAAGGAGGTGTCACAATATATGAGGCGTTAACATCGGGGTAGGTAGACGGTAGCGCGGACAGGAGAAAATGTGCGTGCGTTTAATCTCGCCTGCGCCCGCTTCGGCATGCGAACGAACCTCCAAGTAGAACGAAGCAATGGTCGAAATGAGCGCATAATTACAACGGGTGTTGTTTTTCTTAATTGTGTGCGAAAACAGGGAAAAAACAGTTTCGTCCCGTAGGTGCATGGCCGTGAAGTACTTTAAAATGTATACTATGTCGATGAGGTTAAAGTGTTCGTAATTTTTAATCACATAATTTGTTACATTTTTTACCAACTCTTGATGATAATAATTGAGATTAATCAACCCTTTAATAACGTGTATAACGTCCTCTGTGCTCAGATGAGCAATTTTCTCAAGTATATAAATAATTAGATCGTCCTGAAACTTTGTGCTAGCCAAACCCTTCGAAACGAAGGAAAATATATAAAACATGTAACAGTTATTCTTGACACTGGTATTTTGCATGAAATTATGTTTATAAGATTCGATGATGCAATACCACAAATCTGTCTTGACATGAGGCAACAGTGATAAGGATCTCGACAAATTAATAAGTTCATAATTTTTGTACAAATTAGACTTTACGTACTTAGCAATTAATTCAAATATATCATTAAGCAATTTTTTATTCACAGGCATTTCAATTTTGACAATTCCAAAAAGGACATTTTTTAAATCATTGTAGTGTATGTTGCACAAAAAAAAAGGCAAGTAATTATTTACTACATAAATTATATCTTGATAATATTTTTTAATATGATATTTTCTTAATTTATTTTTTTTCTGACCATCATTCGCATTAGCAAAAATGTTTTTATCTTTTAAAATTTTTCTCGATTTATCAAACAGGTACACAGTTTCCTGCGGGCTGCTGCTAATGCTATGTTCAACAGTATAGCTGTTAAGTATATGATTATATAAATTTCGGTCCACATAAATATTGTGCTTCATATAAGTTTTTTGCTTCCCATATGAGTAAATAATGGAGGGCATGACATTTTCATATTTACACAAGGTGTGGGAACTCAGCCGGAAGTTCCAATTGTCTATATGATCAGACATATCACTTGATCCATGTCCGTTATCCGATCCGTTGTTATGTTCAAAAAGGTCATAATTCAAATCATCTATGCATCCATTTCTGCTCATTTGATTATCCTCATAATTTATGTCTTCCGACGCTGGTGCACCATCGAGTTGTTCAGGTCCCCTTTGGGTGCATTCATTTTTCGATTCACTTGCTGTTTTGTGTTCCCCAGAGTTTTGTCCCACTGGATGGATGATATCCTCCTCAAAGGGATCTTTCCGTGGAAGCTTTCCTTCCTTCACAAACTTCTCATGCATAAGCATGCGCAGCCTCAAACCCAACAGAGCAAAATATTTCTCCGCTTTAATGTTAGCATGACTTACACTCCATAGTAGAGACCCAATGCATTGCTCATTTAGGACTGAATAAAAAGTTAGCGATTTGTCCAACAGGGTTTCGAACAAATTCAAATTAATATTCTTACTTTTACAGTGGGTATTCAAAATAATGCAAATATCTAGGATGTTCAAATTTTCTGAGATGGCTAAAATACGGTTATAAATAAGTGAATAAATTTCTTCATTGTTATAATTTAAGCATTTCAAACCTTTCAATATGAGGGAACAATCTCTTCCTGTAAATTTGTTCACCCATTTTTTTATTTCCTTTTCGAAAAAGGAAAGCATATCTTTATTTGTGTACTTTATCTTCCCCATGCTGTATATTATGAGGGCCAGTTCCTTACAATCAATATCATGCAGCCTGTTTATCGCTTGGCTCCACACACTGTCGTAGAATTGTACATTGTGGTAACATATAAACGCGTAGTGGTGTAAAATCATAACGATCTCACTTGTCCTCAGGTATTTTACAAAGGGTAGAATATCATTTGTGTATTTTACTAATTGGTGTTTGTCAATTCGGAAGATATTGTGGAAGTCCCTGCACATGGACGACAGGTTGTTTATTTCTACTTTTTTCAACCCTAGAACCATTTTGTAGTTTATTATCGAATTAGAGTTGTCTTCGACACAGGGGGGGGCATCCGCTTGGCTGTGCATCTGTTTGCACGTGGTATTAGCGCCGTGCGTTATTTTGCTGCTCCTTATCGCTCCGCTCCCTATCGCGCTGTACTTCCTTACATAGGAACGCTTGGCGGAGGAACCTTTCGCCAGGATGAGCTTCATCAAAATGTCTTTCATATGCGAAAATGAGGGGTTCACTTTAGAAACATCTGCACAAGGTGGTCCGGCGTCGGGCCACACAAAGATGATGAGTTTTTAGCTTCTGTTCAGCGGCTTCTTTGGGGCCACACCTTCCCTTTTGCATTTGTTCATATACACGAATTTGCGTCCGCAAAGCGTTCGAAGGTATGCGTGAAAGGGTGTTACACTATGCAATTGGTAAAAAAAAAAAAAAAAGTAATGACCACTAGGAGAGCAGCCCCGCACTCCAGGTGACTTCGAATTTGAGAAAAAGTCAGTATAATTAAGGCGCCACTTTTCTACGTCCTCCAGTGTAGAGAACGTTCGAGCGAAATAAAACCATTAACTATACTAGTAAGAACTCGAACAAAACAATGGCGACCACGTATATGTTCCACCGTCGTGGAGCGGGATGTTATTAAGCCACTTTTTGGAACAACAAATTAGTTGGGAGATACGTATCATTTATTTTAACGAAAGGAGGGGTGAACTTATATAGCTGCTATACATGTGACGCATGTCATATTTTTAGGTGCGTGCAAAAATGGCGGTATTATTTTTCGCCCCCACCTCGACCTCTATGGCTTGTCGTTTCCTCTGTGCAACTGGTTTGTTTTAGCACCTGTTCACAACGCTACTTTTGGGTCAGAAAAAAATGTTAAAAAAGAAGAACATCTGGAAAATGGAAAAAATGAGGAATAAAAAAAATATGAGTGTAAATGAAAGTGTGAGTTTTCAGAAATTCCTGTGTGGCATTTTTGCTTCTCATTTTTTCACAACTTCTATTTTTTTTTTTTAATTGTGACTTCTCCACTTTATGCCACTTTTCCACACTTGCCCCTGTCCCTTTGCAAGAAAAGCGGAAGAACCCAGTGCTGTAGCTACAACTACTTTCACAAATAAAATTTCCAAACCAGAACACCTTTGCATTTTCCCTAACACACATTTTTGCGTGTTGCTTTTGTGAATAATTTATCCCCTTTTTTTGCAACATAATGTTATAATTTATATGCCATTTTTTTTCTACTCCCACGAGTGAAAGATATTTTACCTTTTTTTTGCGGGTGCAATTTTTCCTTACGCTAATTTTCGCCGTGATTTCCCTGTTCAAGTGTATCACCGGCATAGTTCACGCAAGGGAGCAATTTCGCCATGGGCACACCGTCCACATACACATAGCGCTAGACATACCTTTGCTATGTAACCCATCTGGATGCTCAACCTGAGGTCCACGAAGAAAAAAAAAAAAAAAAAAAACAGGCCACTGCCATGTTAATATCCAACCCATGCAGGTGTTATTACACGTAAGCACTTTAACAAAAAGTGTAAAATGTTAAAAAAAAAAAATTTCATTGGAAAACATTTATTATTGGATTTGTCAACTGCTTATTCTGCTTATTTTAAAACCTATTTGTGCGTCAAGCGTTTGGTGTTGATCTAGATTTGTTCCTTTCTCCATTTGGCCTCCACGTTAATGCTTGACCCCACGCACATAGTGAGATCCACATATGCGGGTTTTTGTAAGCAACCTGAAGTAGAAGCACAGAAGAATTCTTTTGAAGAACGCCATCCAAAAGGTGGGGGAAAAAAAAGCACGCGCATATACGTAGCATCAGGGCACTATCGGCGCAGCACCAACACAGCATCTGCAATAGTAAGAAACCATTCCATTTCGTATATTTGAAGTCACCCAATCGATAGTGCACATTTTAGGCGCTACGAATACGTCCAGTGGCGAAGTCAACATCACAATATGGTGATAACCCGTGTGCAGTTTGGAGGAAATGCATAATTTCCCCCCTCCTCCCCTTTTGGCACACATGCACATATAAGTTATGTGATGGCTATGCGAAGATATAAGTCCATCTGTGATAATACACACATACGCACGTACAAAAGGTCGAATACACTCTGGCACGTAGTTGGGGGCGCGAGCAACTGTGAAGACACAGAAGATCAGGCGAACCTGTGAACTACACTAAGATGGACGATCTGGATGTAGCACTGGTCAAAACTGGAGTTGGGGAAAATGCCCAGACAAAGCAGACAACAGGAAATAACTCAGAGGTGGAAGGAGAGACACACACAAAACTAGACTCACATAATTGCGTTGGCCACCCAGAGGGGATCAACCCAAATGGGGAAATTTTAATAAACACGAATGAAAGACACGATGATGATTTAGAGAAGGAACGAAATGAAAGAAGCAAAAATAATAAACTAATTTTTAACAAAATAAATAATCTGAATAGTTGTCCAAATTTCGATCAAGAAAAAGGGACAGAAATGAACAAGTACGATTATGCATACGAAAGGGAGGAGGTTTTCTCATGCGAAGATGCGTTTGCCGATTCGGTAGAAAGCAATAATTTGAGCTCTTACGACGAGGAGGAAAGAGAACAGATCGATCCATTGAATGGGTACGATAATGGGCATACTTCTAACAACAAAAGAGGTAGTGAAAGACAGAATTGTCAAGTTATTGTAAGGATAAAGCCAAGAATTAGAACGAACAGATTGGACAAAGTGAGCAAGCCGAATGAAAATGACCCTATCGGGAAAGGAGGACCTTATGAAGATGCGAAAAGTATTCAATATAAGAACAATTGCCTGTACGTACATAACCAGAATTTTTCATTTGACAAAATATTTTCTGAAGAAACAAAGCAGATAGAAGTTTATTCATATCTGTCTGATAATTTTTTAAATAATTTGTTTGAAGGTTATAACTGTACCATTTTTGCTTATGGACAGACGGGGTCAGGAAAAACCTTCACCATGGGATTTGATTATATGAACGAATTTTCCCAGAGTGTAGGTATTTTGCCTCGATTTTTAAATGATATGTTTAATATAATTGAGAGAAAAAAAAAGAAAATCGATTTTGATGTATCATGTACATACATCGAAATTTACAATGAAGAAATTATCGACTTGATAGATTTTAAGGAAGAAGATTATCATGAGAAAATTAACTGTAAAAATGGAAAAAAAAATAAAAAAAAAAAAAAAATTAATAAAAATATATCCATAAGGGAAGATATAAGCAAAAAAGAAATAATACTTATGGGAATTAAAAATGAAAAAGTACAAAATGTTAATGATGTGTTCACCATCCTGCATAAGGGAAATTTATTTAGGACCACAGAAAGAACATTCATGAATGATAAATCCAGCAGGTCTCACGCAATCTTCACCGTTAATCTGATTCAGAGAAAAAAACAAGCAACAGAAAATGAGAAAAATAAAGGGAGCATTCTGGAGGGAAATCCAAACTGCAGAAACGAACAGTGCGCAGTTAACGAATTGGGAGAAGAGCAAAAAAGACACAGCTTAGGTGGTAGTAGTAATGTAGAGGAAGAGGGTGGTACAGGCAAGGAGGATGCACACACGAATGCTGACGAAGGGAAGGAATGTGATTTTTCAAATGAAAGTAATAATAACGCGAATTGTGTAGAACACACAAACAAGTCAGATGTAATATGTTCGAAATTTCATTTTGTCGATTTGGCTGGAAGTGAAAGAGCCAAAAGAACAGAAACGAAGGGACACAGGTTTAAAGAAGGAATTAGTATCAACTATGGACTTCTATCCCTAAGCAACGTTATTTATAGCTTGTCTAGTAATAAAAAAAGTCAACACATTCCTTACAGGAATTCCAAGCTGACCAGAATACTTCAAGATTCCCTTGGAGGAAACAGCAAAACAGTTATGATTGCATGCATCAGTATTGACCCTGCAGACTTTTACGAATCCTTAAGCACTATCAAATATGCCGCAAGGACTAAGATGATTAAAAACACCCCAGTCATCAACTATGACATTAACAGCGTAGTTATAAATGATTTGAGGAAGCAATTATTCAACCTAAATCTAGAGTTGAAAAAATACAAAATTGAATGCAAGGATAAATCTTCTGAGTTGAATTTTACTAGGGTTAAGGAATTGATCAGCCAAAATAAACTATTACTGCAAAAAGTGAAAGGCTTAAAAGTGAAGAGGAAGAAATTGATTTGTTTAATATTTCATTATATGAGCTTGTTAAAGAGGCCCAACTATGCAATCACCGATGGTTCACTTCGCTCTAACGTGGTTGAAAGTGTTAGAAGTAGTTCTGTAAATGTGCTCAATCAAAATGGGTGCATCACCCAGGGGGAAAAAATATGTACAGGGGAAGATATTCCCTCCACGAATGGGCAATTGATTGAAGGAGATGCCAGTACCATCGTTCATATTGGCGATAGAGATGGAGAAAACCCTAACCATATCTCTTCTGCCTCAATTTGCACAAAGGGGACTATCATGCTAGACGTCCCTTCCAGTAGTGGTATTCCCACCAGGACCCATTTCACCATGAGCGTGGATTCCTTTTTTCAAAAAAGGGATAACCTGGATAAAGAAAACTCTGCAAATGTGAACAGCAAATTGTCTGAACCAGCCATTTTAATACATGATGGCCAATGCGCAAATGACATGGTCCCCCTCACAATGAAGCGAACCTCCATGGGAGATGCACAATCGTGTTATTCCTGTGGCTTGAAAGAGAGTAGTAATGAGCATCTAGTTGAGAAGAACAGCAAAAAGGAACACGATATGAACATAGTAGTGAGTAGCGCTTCGTACGAAATGGGTGCGAGTGAGAACTGCCACTGCGTTGAGAAGGATGACCAGATGAACAAAGCGACGAATGATAACCGCAGCAACGTTCAAGAAGGTGTGATGTGTGTAGCGCAAAACGCCAATGAGAGGGACGTTCTGACCAGTATGCCAAAAGATCCCTCAAGGGTGATCTCATCAAATTTGATAGAACCTCCAACAAAAGATGCACCCAACGGGAATATCCTCCATGGAGACCACACCATATGTACGACATGTCAGAAAACAAAAATGGTCGAATACAAGGAAGATGCTTGCGATTGCGATTTCAACACGCTGGAGAAAAAATACCTGTTTGTGAATTTAGAAGAAGATAAAAGGTGCGTAGAAAACATGTTCAGGCAGTTTGAGCTGAACCGATATAATGAAAAGAAGCTGAAAGACCTGAACAAAAAGTACAATTCAATTTTTGAAAAAAATAAGACGTACGAAAAAAAAATTGACGAACTGAAAAAAATGGTGAGGAGGATGAAAAGGTGTGCAAAACTGAGTTTGGACAGCACGTACGACGGGAAGAAGACAAAAAATAAAAAAACGCCAAAAGGTGGTAAAAGGGGTAGAAGTGGAAGACGTGATCGGCATGTCGGAGGGGGTGCAAAGACGAGGCCCCCCAAAAGACAGTACCACCCAGGTGCAACAAAAAATGTTCTTCATAGTCCATCGAATCATGACATTTTATATAAACCTAACCGCGACCACTTTAGCGATGTAGAATTCGAGAGAAAAATGAAAAGCAAAATGTTAAAACATTTTACAAGAAAAAAAAACTTGACGGATACAGAAATCATTGTGACGGGGAGTAACTCATTTTGTTTGTATGGGCCAAGCGGGTGTCATGAACAGGCACGGCTGATGGATCTGCTTCACCAAAATTTGAATTACCACAAAAAGGTCAACCTGTTTGACCACACACAGTTGAACACCTTAGTAAGGGCAGCAAAACACAAAAAAGGAATGAACAAAAAATTAAGAAAAAGAATGCTACATTTTGAGAATAATGACAGCGTGTCCTCAAATTTTATATACTCAAGTAACAATGTTGATTGTGGTCTATTTGAGGACACTGCAGAAGCGGGTGGGTTACCAATGGGAAGTAACGGCAGAAGGGATGGGTCAATAAATGGGGATGAAAGAAACCCCCGAGGTGTGAGAGATAAACCAAAAAAAAAGCACGTGCAAGGGGAAGTCACGGAGGAAGGGTTGCACATATCACACCCCTATGACAATTTCCCAGGAAGTGGAAAAATGGATAACCTCCATCTTGTGAATTACGCAAGGGGAGAGATCAAAACAAAATGGCACACCAGCGATGAGGAGATGGGAGAGATGGACGAGGAGGAAGAGGACACATGTGAAAGCAGCCGCTCCAGCAGCACTGACAGTAGCTATTCCAGCGATGATGTAAGTGGCCGCAGAAGTGGCAATGTGTCCCCCAAGTTTCTAAAAAACAAACTAAACAAGCTGCAAAAAATTATCAAGGAAGACATATGTAAAATAAGAAGAGTAAATAAGGAGAAAGAAGAATACAACGCGAAAAATGAACTCCTAACGAACAGTATAATGAATCTGAAAAAGAAGTTACACGATTTACAGGTCAACAGTCAGAATAACAAGAATTGCAAGAAGATAGAAAACATGAAGGGTGAAATACAAAGAATAACAAATGAAAAACAGAAGATTCAAAAAAAATTAAACGACAATGAGCAACAAATTAAACACTTAAAGGTAGACATTTTGAAAATGAAAAATAATTTTTTAAAAACCAGTACTCTGTTGAAAGAAGAACAGAGAAAGCATACCAACATTATTCGCAAAAAAGAAAACATTATTACAAAGTTGCATGAACGAGAAGAACATTACATCAATAAACTTAAAAAAAAAGAAGAAATAAGTAAGCAGGCATATTCAAAATTGCTCAAAAGGAATCAAGAACTCAATGAAGAATTAAAAAAGTTAAAAAGAAAAGGGCCAGGTACCAATGCCAGACGGGGTGACAGAAAAAAGGGTCAAAAAAATCGGCCACCTTCTGAGGGTATCATCAATGGCAACAAATTGGACCATGTCTCCACACGGCTTCAAAATGTCACATCGGACGGGATGTACATCTCCAGTTCGTTACGTGATGATGATGTGCACCATTATGATGACCCCGACGATGATAACGACAGTGGTGATGTCCAACACGGGGAGGATGCCACTTCTCTCCAGAATGACGAATTTAATGCCTCGCCTCTAAGTACCATCCTGTCCGATGGGGTAAAATCGGCCTACCTGAATTCGAGTCCCTCTGTGTGTAACCCAGAAAATAATAAGAAAAGCCTTTTCTCTTCCCACCCCTTTTATAAGTTCAATATGAGCGAGTTTGAATTTCAGAGCAGCTTCAAAAATGATGTGAAAATTAAAAGCTACTTGAGGGAGTTTTTGAAAAAGAAAATGAAACTCAGCTCCGTTAAGGCAAAGTTAGACAAGGAAAAAAGTATGAACAGACAGGTTAGGAAAATTCTGCAAGCCCTGTATGTAAAGAAGAAAAATGAAGATGAAGAAAGGAATAATGCGGAAGAAGACTTCCCCCGGAGAAGCCCAAGCGTAGGGGCAGAAGAAAGATCCACGCAGATAAGTTGCACGGTTAATGCAGGTAAAGATCGAGCGAGTAGTTCCGGAGAGCTCATGGTAGAGCAACCGATGCGGAACACAGTGACCACTGTTGACATGGAACAGCACGGGCAAAACCTACGCGACAATCGAAGCGAAAGTAAGGCAGGCAAACCTGTTAAAGAAAATTCCATCCCTGTGAAGGACAAAGACACGGGAGAAAAATTACCAGATTTATTACGCGATGACAAAATGGACGAAGAAGTAGTATATTACGAAAACAAGTTGAAAGAATCGAATGAACTTTTAAAAAAACTTAAGAGGGACATTGTCACAAAGAAGGAAGAATTCATTTTACAAAAAGTGGTGAAAGATTTGCTCAAGAAGTTATATTCCAATTTTAAAAAAAGGAAAGAAAGTGAAAGAAAAATAAAATCTTTAAAAAAATTTATCTACTCAGAAAATTTATTTATATCCAAAATATACAACAACTTTTTTTACCTTACAAATGTGGTGAACAATTCAACATTGCCGATTGATGGCCCCCCCTATTTGAATAACAACCCCAGGGACCCATTTTATTCGAACCAAATGAATGATACACATGAGGGTCAATTCAATGGAGGGTTGCATTTGACTTGTGCAGAGAGGTACACAAAGAATAACTATGCGGGATTAGGTGCTCTGTTACCCATGTACAAATTTTATCAAGCTAAGGAAGTCTTTTCACGAAATGGCGCACAGCGTGACCTCATGGACGGCAGAAGGAGAAACACGTTTAGCATCCTGATGGGTATCAACCCTAATGATGAGATGAACAAGAGCTACACAAATTTGAAAAAGAGGAGCTATAAAAGTAGACTAATCGAAAATTTGCACCTCAACCATTTTAACAAAAGGAGAGTTGTTCTATCCAGAAGTAACAACGTGGTCGAAAATGGCGAAAATGAAAATTGTGAAACAAAATGGGGGAAGAGACATTCGGACGGATTCTCTTTAAACAGAATGCGTGACACACAAGAAGGGTTTGAAATTGAGGCTAAGCTTAATGGAGGGGTGCCAACTGAAGAGGGGCTACACGACCTCCCCAAAAAGTATGAACACATAAATTGGATGCCAAATGGAGCGCTAACGAATGTCAACCTGAATGCTCTTAACCTTTTGCATGATAACAATATTTTTGGCAAAAGCGACAAGGGAAACTTTATTCGTGGAGTAGATGGTTACAAGGGAGGGGGAGAACACCATGCTGTACACGCTGTACACGCGGTAGGCGCGGCGGACGCGGAAGAATGTTCCCTTGAGCACACGTCTTATCATGCGCTGCCAAATTTAAGAATGAAAAGAAAGACCATAGATAACTGTTACATTTATGCGAATAAACAGAATGGCGATAATTTCCTGGACTACTACCAAGACGTCTTTTCGCGGGGACATTACGACGCGAACGGGGCTAAGGGGGAAAAAAGAGACCATATTTCCTATATGATGAAAAAGGACAGCCAAGAATTAAACCGTGCATTGACAAACGTGCACATTGATGGAGAGGACTGTCTAGCAGGGGACACAGTGAAAAAGGACGACGGTACGATTGGCGGAAAGTATGACAATAATGATTGCTCGGTAGGCACTGGCACCGGTATGTACAGCAATCCATGTGTCATCCCCATCGCGGAAGAAAGCAAAGCAAACTTGTTGCCCCTATTAGGTAGGAGGGATCAACATTGGGGAGAGAACAGGTTGGACATCCATTTGGCCCCAAGACCGATAAGAGGGAATGGAAGCCGAGACCGCATCGAGGGTGTCCACAAACAGGAACTAATCGAGGTGAACAAAACGGTGCGCACTTTCAACGGCGCCAGTGCAGATGGAGTAAAGAAGAGGCAGCCAAAGGTTTGCTCCATCAAGTCGAAGAGTGCCGACGGTAATAGCAGGATTCTTGGTGGCGTCTCGAATGTCAAAAGTGCTTTCAAAGAACAGGAAAACAAATCTAATGACGCCTCTATGGATGGGACAAACGTCACGAGTGTAACGGGGAACGATTTAGAACGGCACCAAACTGTGAAGAACGCGGAGATGCGTAATATAAACTCCGAAGAGGAATCTCAGATGGGAAGAAAACTCACCTCAATAGATACCGAAACGAAGTTGGTGAAGACGATGCATATAAACAAATTGTCATCGAACCAGACGGATGAACCACTACAACACACTGTGTTAGTGCAGAAGGGGGACGACGTGTCGCATAAGACTCAAGGGACAAAGCTCCAAATGGACCCCTCGTCAATTACTCAGTGGAACAGTAGGACTAATAGGGATGAAGCTAAGTGTGGGAGCTACGGTGAGCTCAAGGAAGGGGGGGTGACAAACCCAAGTAACAGTCTGCAGTACGGAATGAACAAGGAAGATTTTAAAAAGATAGAAAAGATACACGAAGAGAGCATCAAAATTTTCAAAAATAAAATGAACGACATGGGAATGAACAGCGAATCGTTTGGTAGCATCCAAATGATGGAAAAAAAAATGAAGGGAAGTTTTGTCAACAGTGGGACCTATGATTCTGATAATAATATGGGAGAAGAGTTCCCATATAACAAGGAGGCTACACAAAAAAAGTACAAAATTTTGTGCATAAAAAATTGCCACAAATATGGAGTTAGTGGATTATGTGTTAAAGAATCCAATAGTAAAGGTCTTTCCATTTTTAGTAGCTCAATAAATAATATAAAGCTATGGGATGGGAAAAAAGCTGTGTGGAATTATGACCATGTGAATTTAAAAAATGAAAAGAGTACATTTATAAACAGCCTAATTGTGTCTTTTCAAAAAAATTGTTTTTTTGCTGGCATCAATAGCTATGTACACCTATTTGACATTAGAACAAATCCAGTATCGTTACAGAAATATTATTATAGTGACAAAAATGATGGTAGTTTGTTAATTTCTCTTCTAAATGATAAGTCATATTATGTGCCTTTTTTGTTACAAAATGGGGGCACTTCCAGTTGTAGCGGCGCAGGTGAAGATGTGACTGGGCATGTGCCATGGGATACCTCCCTTAAGCACCTACCCTACAGGGAATGGAAAGAAGAAAACGCTGGTAATGCTTCACACGAAACGTCCAGCACAAACCATGGCAGTGTGATTCACGAAACCTGCAATGAGCGGAGTAATCAAACAAGCATCCTTACCCATAGCAAAGGAGAAGCAGCTGAGGAAGACGCAATGGACAAATTAAAACTTATAAGAGATGCTGAGAATTTCCAATCCGAGTATTGCATATGTGCCTGTGGAAATGAAAACTTTATTAAAGTGTTTGACATACGAAAAAATGACGACAATATGTGGCTAGCCAAAATACCAATAACAAATAAAATTGAATACATAACACAAATTCCAATGAAAAAAAATGGGAAAAATATTACAAAGGATTCGAATATATTAAAAAATATAATTATAGCAAGTAGAGATAAGACGGTCAAAATATGGAAGAAAGGATGGGTGTCTTTTTATCCTCCCTCATACGATTGGTGTACATCTCTCTCCAATTTTAACCTTTCTGATTTGATAAAAAATAAAGGTACTCCACATCTGCAAGAGGAGTCAGCTGAATATGCAAATAATTTGTTCAATTATGATTCGTTAATCGTGTCTGGAAGTAGAGATTCTCACCTGCGCTTTTGGCTTTACGCAACGGATAGCACAACGAATGAATTTAATCGGTTCATGAAAATTATTAAAAATGCCCACATGGTCGACATAACTAGTATAGCCAAATATCAAACCAGTGGCCTGGTTACAACGGATAGGTACGAGCCGTGTTAGGGTCATTTCCGCCCTCCCCCCTTTTACTCCAACATGTGTTCATCCCCCTCTTTTTACTCTTCCACCCACTTCAACCCCTGCAGAGACGGATTTATCCAAATGTGGGATTGCAACTTATTCATGAATGATAACGAAAAGGCTTTACTAGATATGGACATTTATAATAACCAGCTTAATCTGGCTGTTACCAAAATGGGCAAAACGCTGAGGTAGGGTTGTTGCATTTGTGCACATATATACGTTGCACAGTTACGCACATCTAATGAGTAGGACTATTTCTATATTGGCCCCGCTACGTTTGTGCATACACCAGTGTGCATCCCTATCATATCAGCAAAAAAAAACATTTTAACCATTTCACCGTTACACATATGTGGAATGCTGCTCACGACCGCTACTCTTTTTTCCCTACCTTTTAGGCACTCACCAAATGCTATCAACAAGGTCGTCTGTTATGAAAACCAGTTTTTAACTGCCTCAAGTGATGGGTCCATTAAAATATTTAGTGAAAAATAAAGCGTATGACATTTCACCCTTGCACATTAATATGTGTAACACGTTTTTAATTTCCCATGGGGATGTCATTTTTTTTTTTTTTTTTTTCAAAAAAAAGAGGGATTTGTGGTTTACCCCAAAATGGATTAAAATGTGATGGGCATTTCAACGACGCCTGGGCGTCATGTCCATTTGTTCCACATTTTTTTTTTTTAACAACATTTTTTTCCATGGATAAACTGAAACCACGACCCCTTCGCAGCTTGCGGTAGGAAGTACATAACCACAGCATGAGACAAAATCGAATTCGATTTGCTCTCTGTATGAACAAAAAGCGCGCACAAAATGTCCGTACAAATTGGACTTAATCCGATTAAACAATTATGCGGGATTGTCAATCAGTAGACCATTTGGCAAACTTGTAAAAATTGTTTTATTTGTTGTGAGGCGTTTTATGTAATTATATGTGCATATCCCTTTAGTAACTGCTCTCTTGGCGAACGAAAAAAAAAAAAAAAAAAAAAAAAAAACACACAATTGAGCAAGTGGTTGCCTGTTCATTTCTGCGTGTACGCGAGATGGAAGTGTAAAACCACAATTTATGCGTTTCGAAGACGACAACTTATCTTTCATCCCATTGGTGTTGACGAAGAATGTATGGATACGATGCGAACATGACATCGTGTAATGAAAGCTGCATTTAATTATTTCTTTTTCTTTTTCTCCTTCTCATGATTTATTCCCACTTTTCTTATGGCTGGGAAATGGCCCTAATAAAATGAAAACAAATTCGTAACAAACACTCAGCAGTTTTGTAGCATTTCGTAACATAGCAATATTGTAACATCGAACGTTTTCCTAAGCTAGAGTCACACAAAATGTTGAGCTAAATATAAGTCATTTTTTTTTTTTCTTTTTTCTGGTGTACCTTGGCTGACATAGTGGAAAACACAAATCTGAGGAATTTATATATTTTTTTTTTTTTTTTTTTTTGGTGGGGGGTATTTAAAAATAGCTAGCCAAGTTGCTCCAAATGGTGAGCAAAAAGGTAGGTTTTATGTACATGTTCTTCTTATATAAAATCGTAGAAACTAGGCACTCGCAGGAGAGTAACAAAAAATACACATGGAAAGTTTTCTTACTCTCCTGCGAGTGCCTACTTCCCGTTTTAACGTGCACAACGTGTTCCCAACCGTGCGTGTTTTCCCTCAACTTGTTACACAACTTTGTTCTTCATTTGCTTAACACACGAGGAAAGTTGTGTCCACCCTGTATAATGCAAATATGAACGATAAGAAAAGAAGCAGCACGTGCTTAATAGCTGATGGGAGCCCGTGCTCGGATGATAAAAATGCCAAATTGGAAGGCGAAATGAGCATAAAAAATTTAACTGCTGTGTTAAATGGTTACACGAATCATGATGCTCAGGATGACATCAGCGATTTTTTGTCTAGCTCCTATAGGAGCTTCCTAACGAATTGTATATGTGAAGAATTGAAGTCTGCCACTAGCAGAGATCTTAACCATTTAATCGGGGTATGTCTTGATGTCATTAGGAACAATCATGAAACATTCATATACCCAAATATTTATTTCATCAGTCTGAATACGTTATTTTTTTTGCTCAACAAAGTTGATAATGTAAGTGAATACTTGGAATATTTGTCGTGCAAAATTTTTTACCATTTAATATTTGCTGACCCTTGGAATGAAGATAATCATGTTGAAATATTTGCAAAATTGAATTATATTAATTTTTTTATCTCATCGAGGATTTTTAGCAAGATGATAAAGACATCAGATGACGATGATGATGTCATCACCCCCCCGTTTAACAAAATTTTGAATCTCCTGTCTATCACACTGTTATCTGATGAGGGGGAGATTCCTACTTTGGTCACAGGGAGTAGAATAGGTAGTATGACAAGAAGGGTAAGCAAAAACGTCAATCATGTCAATACTATTTTGACGAATGACGCACATGCGTCTCCTTTTATAAGAGCTCCTTGCATTTTTCCGTATTTGCGACATGATAGTAGCCCCAATGTGGATCTTCAAAATGGGGAAATATTCTCAAACCAGATTAATGACAAAGTGTTACTATATAAAAGACAGAGAACGGATAGATACAAACACCCGCTTGAAGAAGGGAAAAAAAAAACTGATCAACGTAACGGTGACTCTGACACTGCTGTGGTTCCCTCGAAGGAGGAAATATTTTTAAAAATTTACGAAACGATTATTCAGTTGGTCATCAAATTTGACCTAACCATTTATATTGTACACGAATGTATAAATGTGCTTCTAAATTTTTGTGAGAAATGTCACCAAGAATTATTGTTCTATGATTTTCTGTGGCTACACAAGTTTTTCCTAAAAAATGACACAACGGAAAAGGCACAACGATTTATTGCCTTCATAATACAGCTAATTACAAAGTGTGAAAAGAAAAGGCAGAAACGGCTATTTTTTAATTTGTTAAATGATTTTGATTCCCTTTTGAACCTCCTCTTTATGTCCAACTCGGATATACGCGTATACGCGAAGGAGTGCCTACTGTCACTGAATATTGCGAACGCACCTTTGCATACCGATGAAAATGTGGTCAAGGAGTGTGGCGGAAATGAGACAACCAGCAGAACGTTCCACATAGCATCCCATGCACAAACTCAGTTTTGCAAAATTATAAATTTAATTTTATTCCACATGGATTATATCAATCATGTTAGCAGTGACGAGCCTGTAGACGAAAAAGCGAAAGAATACAAATATGATGAGTTTTTTAAAAGCAGAATTGGGCAAGAGCCTCTGCTGAAAAGGTATATAAATGATCAAGTTAATGCAAAAAAAAGGAAATTATTTCGAACAGATATGAACGACCCAGATAAAAATATCATCATCATCATCAGAAATAATATAGTCGAAATGGAAATATTGGTTAAAACGCTGGACTGCCTTTTGGGCCTTGTTCCAGACAGGACCAGCACCAGTATATACTTTATTTTTTTTTTCATACACATTTTGAAGTTAATTAACAAGGTAAGTAAAAATAGGCATTTGCAATTTCCGAAAGAATTTTTCTTCTTTTTGAAACATTTATTCATCCAAGCAGTGTACGTGCTCGAAGGTATAGACAGGATGGAGGACAATGTAGCTAGTGGCCAAAACGGCCGACCCATAATTGATCACTTCAGCATCAAAAATGAAGCCAGCTATAATAAAAAGGACAGTGGGATGACCCTATTTGAGCAGAGTGAAGTGAAAAAATTGATTGAACGCATCCAACTGCGATCTAAAGGGAGGAACGAAAAACCGCTGCTTTTCCTTTTAAAGGAAATGTATTCCACAGTTATATTATTTTTAATGCCATCGGAAGGAAATTGGACTTTCCTAAACTCGCCGAATTGTTATTTTTTCAAACAGGTTCTGCTAAGAGTATCTCATTTTTGCTACAAGAAAAAAGCAAGTGTAAATAAGATGAAGTTCTTTTTTTTGGACACCGTTTTTAGAAGAATTAAAAAAAAGACCAAGTGGAAATTGAGCCGAAGGAAGGTGCACCATGAGCATCCTTACTGGGATCGTCACCCGTATGTTTATCTTGATGAAGCGTGCATTATTTCGCTAAAGGGGCAGATAAATTATAAGAGGTATGCTGCCCTTTTTTTCGAAAAGACGGAGTATATATCGGGAGAGCAGGCTTTTTATTTTTCGTTTTGCCTAGATTTTCTAAACACGTTTATCCTCTTTCACAAATCGATGAATTGCGATACAAAGTGGGGGAAATATAAAAGGCTAATTATAAGCTTATGCAAAGTTCCCATTTTTAAGTACAAATTTTTCTTACCCGCAACGAACACAAGCAGCTGCTTCTGCCAGGCAGTTGCAGTTCTGCACAATGTCTATTTGGTCATTTATAGGAGTGGAAAAGGTAAGAAATTATTGCATGAAATTTCTGTTCTGCTACTATTATGCTGTGACAAAGCTTTGAGAAGCATTAAGAAGGATAATGTTATTTTTTATGGGGAAAAGTTTGGGGATCTTAAAAAGTGTTACAAAATGAGCAGTTCCAGGGATGAATTCCACGGTGAAGGCAAAACGAAGAGCGGTGAACAGCAAGAACAACCCATTAAAATTATAAATACGTTTGAAAAACCTTTCAAGGAATATTATTTAAATAATTCTTTACCCGTTTTTATAAAATGCTTGAGCGCCTTAACAGACATAGTCAAATTAAACATCATTGGGTGCTGCACATTTGGCAACAAGCGGATAATAATAAAAAAATCGAAAATGGAGAAAAGAAAAAAGAAATGTCGTACCTATCTAAAAAAGAGTGAAAGAAGTTTAATTCTTTTCAGTCACAGATATATGAGAAATTTTTGTAAATGCCTCATGAAAAAAACGAGCGAGGATTTTTTCTACAGTACTCGAAAATATGTACTGAGTTTTATTCAGCACTTCATAGCACTGAACACCATTTTAACGCTCAAGTATAAATTAAGACGTCGCAATAATTTAAGCGTAGATAAAATGTTGAGCTTTTGTTTTTATAACCTTTTCACCGATCATGATGTAAGCGTTTTTTCAATAATATATTCTATTGCCTTTTCCTTGAAAAATTACCTAACGTTATGCGGGGACAAAGTTAAAAAGTCAAACCATTATCTGGCTGTGTGCGATGATTTAATATTCCAAATTGTTGATGAGTATTACTCCTACGATTTCCCGTAAGTGTTTATGCGGCGGTTTGTGCCTGTCCTTTGTACTTGTCCGCTTGTCCTTCCCGCGCGTTGCACATTTGTGCAATTGCCATTTCGTGAAACATTTAATTATGATGATGTGTTTGTTTTTCTACATGGGTTTACCACCCTGCTGTTGCTTAACGTCATGCAGAGGAGTGTCCAGCAAGGCCTGTAAATGGCCCATTCACGCCTCATAGTTATTTCGCTCATTTTTCAATTTTTCTGTGTCCCCACCTTTGCAGCGAAACGAATTTATGGGAGGAGTACATATGTAAAACGGTTAACTTTGACTCGTTAAAGCATACAAGCGTGGATTGCCCGGGAGGATAAACCAGAACAATGAGTAGGAACACACTTAGCGCTATATTCTGCTTATTCATGTGATGCCTTTTTTCAAATAACATTTGGTATGTCATGTCTTATTTTATTTTTTAATTTTTTTTTTGTGCCACCAGTTTTGCTTGTTTATATTGAATTTGTGCCCGTTTGTTTCTGTTGTGTTGTAAATTTGGAAAAAAAAATTATGGAACAGGTGTACCTATTTTTAGGAACATTTTGCAAATACACAAAACGAATGCAGTTATGCAATGCGGTTAATTTTGTCCTTATTTTTATTTTATGTTTTTTTTTTGTTAGAAGCTTCGCTAGCACATGCGTAAAATAGTGACAACCACGTGCTCATTTGTAGAAATAGTACTACATTAAAATATATAGAGCAATTCGTGAATATATATGTTGAAACTGTGTCATTTAGGCCAGTTACATAATTTACCATGCATTCTTTTAACTTCAGTGTTTTAATGTTAAACGGCGGGGAGGGATAAATTCTTTTACAGTTTAAGTCATTTTTTTTTTTTTTTTTGTCTTACATGCCAAGCGTAGCAAAGAGGGGGAACAGACGAAAGGGAATTTATTGTAACAACAGCACTGCGCGCACGTCGCCAAATTGGAGATTAACAACGGGTCAGTTTTGTATGTCTTTGTTCCACTTCATTTGTGCTGTGTTATTCTTTACCCACTGCTTAGTCCCCTTTCAGCGTCCTGTTCTGCGCTTTATCTCACAAAAGAACTTAGAAATTCACTGTTCATATGAGTAAAGTTATATATTTCCCCATCCCTTATGCACACATATGCATGAAAGGCAAAAATAGGGAAACACCCTTGTCTTCATTCGTTGAGCGAAAAAAGTGAACGCTCTGGCATGTCATCAGAGTATGTAATGATGTATGTTATTGTACGCCACTTTATTTTGAGAAATGGGGACCCCTACCACTGAGGCACAAGGAATACTTCACCCGTTTTGATAATTTGTGAGGAGGTAGCCAAAAGGAAAAAAAAAAAAAAAAAAAAAAAAAAAATATGAACGGCAAGGTGGAATGTTCACATGGATGTGTACACATACGCATATGGTTATATATGTATATATGTAAACATGTATATTTTTTTTTTTTTTTTTTTTTTTTTTCCAACTCAGAAAAAGACATATGCACACACGGGAACAAAGTGATGGTTCGTGTTTCCGCGCAGAAATCTGTTGACTGTCCTTTCGTTTGAAAAGGCAAATGTTTCCATATTCATCAATTTTTCACCATTTCCAAAATGGGAAAAAAGTTCCTATAAATTGCGTAGGATTATTCTATAGGCACAAATTTGATGTACCCACTTTTAGACAGTTTTCTCTTTTTATGTTATTTGTTTCTGCTTGTTTATACTTACATTGTGAATTTTTTAACGAGAAGTTAATTGTATGCCAAGTGTTGTAACATTTTTTTTTTTTTTTGCAACTTGAAAAGTGATTAAACAGGAAAAATATAAAAAAATGAAGTAGTTAACAGTCCAAAATGTTGAAACAATGAAGCGGAATAAATTTACGCATAACATGTTTTTATACAATTTGATGTATGTTTGGAATATACAGAAAAATTGATGTCTTATTTATAACAATTTTTAATAGATTACTTTTTTTTTTTTTTTTTTCTGGCGTGTATTTTGCATATGACACATTTGCACAGCGCGCCAGAAAGAATCCCCCTACGAAAAACAGCCATTGTTTTTTCGTTCCATCCGTTTGCACAGAAGCAAAAAATTAAACCTTTTGAAACAATTCACATCACGCGTAATTTGCGTATCCTCGAAAAGGGTAGCCTCGTCTGCAAAAGCGTATAAAGTTAGCTGCTTTGCGGTGTTGCGTCAAAATTTAAAAAGGGTGTACATTGTCATAATAATGCCAAAGGAGGTTATAGGAGCTGTCTATGCGCATGTAGATGTGTGTATATATATAGGTTGCCTCCCTGAATGTAAATCCTTAACTTTTTAGGTTTAATGTTTATTTTTTCGCCGTTGCAATTTTTTTTAGTTTTTGCTCTTCATTTTTTGTAATTCATTTTTTACTCTTCATTTTTTACAATTCATTTTTTACAATTCATTTTTAGCTGTTCATTTTCTGCAATTCATTTTTTTAGCTTTATGTTTTACCCCTTATTCATTACTTTTTAACTTTTCTCTTCTTTTTCGTTATTTGAGCACCAACTGGTGCGTAAACATTTATGCAACACTGGGGTAAGCATCATTCGCCGCGCGAACTCACGAGAGGAAAAAAGCCGTAGAATAAATTGCGCACTTAAGGGCTATTTTCCAGAAAAAAAACTAACAGGTTAGTGAGGCATTTAACATATCAGGCATAATCGAGGGTACCCCTTTTCAATGCAGATGATAAAAAAAAATAGACAAGGGAGCCTTTTTCTAAGCAATACACAGAGATGTGTTTACACAACATACTTTTATTTACTCCCGTGAAACGCCCCCCAATAGTAGCTAGTAACTGATTGACGAGAGCGGCCGCAACATCCTTAACGGGACAGCATCACAAAATGGGCAGCACAATGGATGCGCATTTAATGCACTACACTCAAAGTAAATATGATGGACTTTTTGTAAAAAACAAACACTGCTATTATAAAATCCATTTAGCAAATACGAGGTATGAAATTATTAAAAGGGTGGTTGAGGAATCTGAAAAATGGATTGAAGCTAATCCGGATTCTACTGATTGGGATGTCATATGGTTAGACACATCTATCTCCGACGACAGGTTCAGAAAGTTGAAGAAGTTTCAAAAAGTTAACCATTTCATTGGAATGAAAGGAATAACAAGGAAAGATGAGTTATGTAAAAATTTAAAAAAAATGAGAAAAAAATTCCCTCAAAGTTACAATTTTTTTCCCCTTACATGGATCTTACCTAATGAACTATCTGACTTTAAAAATTATTTTAAAAAGGAAAGTGGGTCCAAGACATACATAGTTAAGTTAAAAAATTCATGTCAAGGGAAGGGCATATATTTAACAAAAAGTTTGGACAATATAAATAAATACGATAGCTGCGTTATTCAAAAGTATATACACAAACCTCTACTAATAAATGGATTAAAGTTTGACATTCGGCTGTACGTTTTAGTGACAGGTTGTGATCCGCTCAGGATATTTTTGCACGAAGATGGCTTAGTGCGATTTTCAATAGAAAAATATAAGTTACCGAAATCGAAGAATCTGAAGCAGGTGAATATGCACCTAACAAATTTTTCTATTAACAAAAAGTCAGATAAATTTGAAAATTCGTTACATCCTGATGATGCAACCACGGGACATAAAAGAAGTTGGAAAGCATTCTTACAGAAATTGAAAGAAGAGGGGTTACCCATGGATTCAGTGATGAAACGAATTGAACATATGATTGTTAAAACGATTTGTTCAATACAACCTGAGTTGAAGCATTATTATAACTCAGCTCATATTAGTGACTATTCCAATAGTATGTGTTTTGAAGTACTAGGGTTTGATATTTTACTAGATTATAAATTAAAGCCTTGGCTCCTGGAGGTGAACCACTCCCCTTCATTTGCCACAAGCTCCCTCGTAGATGAAAAGGTAAAATATGCAGTCATCCGAGACACCTTGAACATGCTGTACATGAACTCCAAGTACAGACATATTCGCATTCAAGAATATTTAAATTTGCAAAAGTTTAGAAAAAAATATAGTGACGTTTTAGTAAAGCACAAAAAAGAGTTGAAGGAAAAATTAACTTTGAGTCGTTTCCATTATGAAAATAGGAACTTGGGTGGGTATAAAAGAATCTACCCCTTGCTCGAATTGCTCGATTATGAAAATCTTATCCTGTTCGTTTCTAATGCTTGGAACAAGTCAATTGGAATACCGTATTGTATGAAAAGAGATTCGTTTGAGTATCTGTTTGAGGAACCTGCCAAGAGAAGGAGTCACACGATGGACAAGCTAGCTATAACTAACAGTGCAACGGAAGAGGACGATGATGATCAGCAGCATCAACAGCAGCTGTATTGGCTGAACGAGGTGGAGTGTAACAAGTACTGCCACTCGGACCGGGTCATGGCAAACATGAGCAACTGCTCCACCTCCTGTTAGGTGGTTTACACAGGGGGGGTTTGTGACATAGGGATATAATTGGCAGAGGTGGCATTTCCTCGCTTTTATGTCCATCCCTTCCCTGCGTCGCATAGCCCGTTACAAAGCAATTTGGTGAGAAAGCCAAAGGGGGGTCTGGCTGCCTCCGTATAGGATATATTGACAAGAACAAAATGAGCAGCACGAAGCATCAGTTGAATATCCACTGTGCTATTAGGGTTGGTCACACATCTGTATACACATATATATATGTGTGTATATATGTTCGTGGGGGGGATAATTTACAAAGGTGAAACAAGTGTGAGGCTGTTTATGTGCACTAGGGCGTGTTGTTGGGATACTACAAAAAAAAAAATATATATATATATTTCAAAATATTGTACACATAAAAAATGTTCAAAATGGGAAACTAGGGGAACTTCTTTTAATGTGCATTGTGTATATTTTGAAATTTACAAAACATAGGAAGAATGCGTGGGGGACATTCAAAGGATGGGGGGTGGTGCAAATGTGGAGTTGATTTATTAATAGGCATATATTTATACCGGGCGAATGAATAAGCACCTCGGAAGTGGGAAAAAACATTAAGAACAAAAAAATGGAATAATAATGGAACAGGCGTGAAGTGATGGATTGCATGATGGTGGGAAACAAAACGGACACGCGTGCATGCACACAAGTGGGGTGTGTGGAAAAAAGGCAAATGAAGGGCTGTATAATATACAAGTTTGCATTTGTAAGGTTTACAGTGATGTGTTGCATTTAGCTCATTCCGTTGTGCCATGTTTTATAGTTACACGGTTTTTTCATGTTTTCCCCTTCATTTTTATTTTTCTTCTGCACTGGTGTCCCGTTTTGCCATGTTACTACTCTGTCGCGGCGCTTAGCATATGAGCGCGCAGGCGACGGTGATGTCGTCCATTTTACCGCCCGTTTTGTGACACTTAAACTCTTTGTTGTAATTGTTTATGTAGGGAGACATCCACCTTTTCATTTTGGAGTAGTTAAAGGCCTCATTGGCAATTTTTTCCGATAGGCAGGAAAAGTTGTTCTGTTTAACCAAATTTAATATTTGGTTATCGTATAGATTATCCCATAGTCCATCGGAGCCTGCAACGATGATGTCATTTTTCATAACTTCTATATGAGCAATATCTGCATCATTTGGTTTGCTTACTTCATTACTTCCCAACTGGTAAGGGAAATTAAATTCGTACTGCTGTGGTTTTGAGCGGTAAATTATATTATCATTTCGAATGAGGATAAATTGGGAGTCTCCAACGACAGCCGTGGAGATCGTGCTATTGTTATTAAAGATGATTAGACAAACAGTGGTTGATCCCTGAATGTCATTATTTAGGTAGGCATAGTTGAGTACATCTTCAATTTTCATATTTTCATTTTCATCCATTTTTTTTTGTAAAAGTTGTAAAAATTTTTCTGGATATTTTCTTGGATTTACTCCATGCCTTATCCAGGATCCTACACCATCAGCAATGGCCATAAAGCCCTTTCCATTCAAACAGCAATCTTCACTTTCTGCTTTATCTGGATGTTTGATAATTTTATAATTTGTTAAAATGGAATATTTTCTATTTGAGCAAAAGGCCTTTTTGTTAAAGGCGAAAAGAATATTTTTTTTAATTTTATATTTTAAATATACATTATTTGCCATGTTAAAAAAGTTAAACGTGATTTTATTTTTTAAAAATGTGTAGGGAAACTTTGTTACAAAATTAAGTTCCTTGGACAGGTTATTACTAAGTTGTGTGTCACATTTTGTGTTGGTGAAATTAGAGCTTTTGTTGCCATCTAGGATTGGTAAGACGGATAACTTGTCCATAATATTATCCTTCATACCCATTTCATTTTTTGTTTTCTTATTTTTTTTTAATTTTTTTTCAAATTCCTTGGAAAAAAAATTAAAGTTCTGTCGGGAAAAGTAGCAATCTTCTTTTTTTAGTAGCATGTTCATTTTCTTCTTCAAATACACAGTTGCTACAGCATACAGGGAATTCGCCGATGAGCCTTTATACCATGTGAGCATATTATTTAGGAGTAAAATTAGTAGGAGGGAAAATGTTGTGATCATTTAGGGTTAAAAAACAACAACCTTTGGTTTTTTTTTCCCGCATGGGCTTTTTCATGGGCCGGTGTGTTTACCCTGATGCTTCCCATGGAAAGCTGTTTAGCAGTGATTTGCTTTGTTTTGCTGTGTTTTGTTTTATTTTGCTTTATTTTTGCTTCATTTTGTTGTTGTATGCTTTATTTTGCTGTTGTTTACTTTATTCCGCTGTGGTATGCTTTATTTTTTTCCCACCCATTTCGCATTTAAAATTAATTTTTAAGAAAAAAAAAAAAAAGAAGTTAAGATATATGGACTCAAATGCGAGGCATGAAAAGAAGGTGCGAACCGGGGGGGGTACAGAGTGTATACACGACTTTGTTTTCATGGGGCTACTTCCATTTCGCCACGTGCTAATTATGAGGAACAAAAAAATGGCAAGCGGATTCGGCCAAAATGGTAAGGCCGCGTGCTTAAATAGCGGGATAAAAAAACGACGAGCAACTGTGTTGCGGGAAGGCGGCAAAAGAGGGCAAGCAAAGAGTAAAATAGAAGTACAATTTTTCTTTAACCCTGTATACGCGAAACATTAGCACAAACTCTGTACCCCCAAGTTTGGCTGGATAGGGAGAAAATTGCAACAGCTGAGTGTGGGGTACCCCCCTTAGGGTGCACCATGTATACGTGAAAATAAAACGCAAAAAGGAGTTATATTGAAATGACAAAATGGTACACAACAAAGGACAACCTTTTTCTCGTTCATTTTGCAATTTTCATATAACTCTTTTTTATGTGCTTTTTAGAAAACTTTGCCTCATGCGTGGAATGTATGCTACTTCATTTTTTGACAGTCTTTTTTCCCCTTTTTTTTGAATATTAGGCCCATCCCTAAAACATCATAAATTTAACCAATACAAATGTAACCCCTACAATTCTTGGGCCATTTTTTTTTTTTTACAATTTTAATGGCTTAACAGAATTGTGTGATAAGTTGCAGTAGCGATGTTACAGTGCCTTTACACATTCTACATTTTATTTTAAAAAAATGTTCTTTTGGTACAACATGGGCATAGAATATTGCACATACCCCCTTTTGGAGGTGCAACCAACTCGAATTTTTATTTCGCAAAGCAAACCTTTTTTTTTTATAAGTGCGGATGGCATTGGTTGATTGGGGTTTAAATGTGGTTTTACATAAGTGTCACCTTCATTTTTTTGTAGATGCGGTCGAACATGTGGCATGTGTAACATTGTGCTACTTCCTCCATTTTGGAGGAACTTTTTTCTTCGGTCCATTTTTTGCCGCCTGTTCAAATGAAGAGACAAAGAGGTGCATCCAAAGGAAGATATACCCATAATGTATTTTTATGCAGCTCAATTATAATTACAAATAATGTTGTTCCATTTGTTTCGTCGTAGTTCCAACAACGTGGAGAGGTAACATTTAACGCGCATCTATTAATGCATTTTTTTTTTTTTTTTTTTTTTACAATCTCGAAATAGACACCCTGCTTAAAAATGTTGCCGCATGAAAGGAATTTATTTTTTGTTTTTTTTCAACTTAGGAAAGAGTGCACACTATTTTGAAAAATAATTCTACACATTTTGAGCATCCCCGAATTTGCTCACTATGGAGTGTTTAATTAATGCAGGGGGTAAACAAAAACGTTCCTCGGTGTTCACTCTGTGAGGTTCCCTTTTTTGTGGTTCCCTTTCTGTGCGTGTCGCGGAACGAGAAAAAATGGAGTCAGGTGTAAAGGACAAACAATTTAAAATTAGCAGAAAGTGAACATGTCTATGCGCCAAATTCTTTATAATGAGATGTACAGATTTTCCTCTGACGTAACGTGGTAATGCAAATATAAAGGCACATGCACATCCAAATATTTTTGAGAGTACTCATGCTTCCCCCATTCCTGCATGTTCGCCAATAATGAAAAAATGAAACGAAAAAAAAAAAAAAAAAAAAAAAAAAAAAAAAAAAAAAAAAAAAAAAAAAAAAAAAAAAAAGCGGTGGGACGAGGTTTTAATGAATGAAATATTTACCTAATTAATTTAAAACGTAATTGTAAATAAACATTTGCGTGATCAACTTGGCAAATAAGAACATTTGTTCGTGTGTTTGTTTTATTGTGCACAATTAAAGAATTAAAATGAAGAATGAGAAACTGCCTTGACAAAGCTTCCCTAAGTCATGAACATTAAAAACCTAGATGATGTAAAATACAGATTTCATAAAATTCAGGTTTTAAACGAAAATGATAAGAAAGCAAAAGCAGTGTTGACCCGGGCTGCCGACCAGGTGATGGTAAGACGAAAAAAAGAAAGAAAACGCATCCAATAAAAGGTGAACAGCTGAGTGATAGCTAACCAAAAAGGTGTGCACATAAATGGAGCACACAGTAGGAAATATTAATGTGGGAGCTGCAGGGACCATCTCGGAGGACTTACAAATGAGGCGCATAGAGGTGCTCTCTCAGATGATATTTCAGATGCGTTGCCACCGCCCCTCAGATTCATGTGCACGGACGCGTGTTACCCCTTATGCCGTTTCTACATTTCCCCGCTCGTTTTAATATCCCCCCTTGTTTGTGCAGCCCATTATGAGGAAGATGCGCTTTTCCGTTGAGTTACTGTCCGAGTTTTTACCCCAGAGTCCAAAATTACTAGGGCTGAACATTGCGGCTAAATCAGAAATTAAGGTACATATCTGCTGACCGTTTGTTTTTCATGCGTGTTGGTAGAGTGTGTGAGGGTTGTCGCCGCAGTGCGTGTATGCATATATGTGTATTAGGGGTGCACACATACATAAAATTACCCCACCTTCCCGTACATGTGTGCGTACCCGTTTTCAGATACGACTGCGGAAAAAAAAGGGAGGGGAGTTATTTCATTTCAACGACATCATGGGGACGCTGCTGCACGAGCTAGCGCATATAGTGCACAGCAAACATGACAAATCATTTTACGAACTCTTAGACAAACTAGTTCTAGAGTATAATAAATTATATACATTTGGGAAAAAAGAAAATCAAATGAGTGGGGGGAAGAAAACAGGAGGAAGTGATTTCCGCATATATAATGGCAGCCCCAAATTAATGGCAGCACAGGCTGCTGAAATGAGACTACTAAATAATTTTATGAACAAGGATGGGGAAATATTAAATGTGTCCCTTGGAAGTTGCTTAACACCAGAACAGTATGATAATTTATTTAAAAATCGAAAAGAACGTGATGATGAAATTTGTTCCATTTCAAATGATATAATTGTGATCGACTCGTCAATAGATTTGACCAACCATGACCATGCTGAGATTGGGGAAACCTCACAGAACACAAAGAATGATTTTCAACTATCAAATTCTTTGCAAGGGAGGGATAAAAATGTCTTCATTCCGAATGCGGATTGTGTAAAGAAGGAGAAAGAGACACATGCGCTTGAGCAGGAGGACTGTAAGGAATCGTTCAACGTACCAGGAGGTAAGCCAAAAAAAGAGGCAAGCAAAAAAAAAAGGCAATCGGCATGTGAACGGGGGAATGAAGAAAAGGTTATAACAGTACCCGGTAGCATAGGAGCCACACCTAAACACAGCCGTAATGGCAACCTTAAAACGAATATTAATGGGAGCGCCGTGAAAAGTGCCCCATGTTAATTCTCCGAGGGGGAGAGAAGCAAAATGAGTCAACTGAGAAAAACTAGTGATTTTTTCTTGTCCACCATTTGGGAAGAGGAAAACACGAAGGACCATATTTTCCCATGGTTGCGAAAAAAAAAAAAAAAGGGAAAAAAAAAGAAAAACAGAGATGTGTACCACGGAAAAAATTACACCAATTAGATGAGAGGAAATATATGAATGCTTCTTACATTTAGGGTTCTTCGTGAGTGCATCTGGTTTGTAGATTCATCTCAACACTTTGCCTATTTTGTTGTGTATGTTGTTTTTTCCCCTCTCCAGGCAGTAACTGCGTGCAAATTTTAAAGGTCAAACGAGATTGCAGTGGTGTGAAACATGCTGAAAATGAAAATGGCTCGACTGTTTCGGATAATGTGGGTATCAGGAAAGGCAAAAAGAGAAAAGTTATTATTCTCGATTAGGAGGTTAATAATATGGGAATGATGTATTCCCCCCGAGTGTAAAGTGTCCCCCGTTGTTGCATATCATTTTGAATAGCTAGCTGTGTGATATGCAGATTGCGTGTGCTTTAAATGGGGACGGCTGACATAAAAGCGCAGGCGCAGACTGTCCAGCACACACAAACTTATAATATGTGTGTACGACCATGTATCTACTTGTTCGTTTGCTCCCTTTTTTTTTTGTATTTTTTATTTGTCCCGCAAGTTGCAATTTTTTTACACTATTTCGAATTAACTTTATGCCATCTGTCCAAACTGATTCCTTTTATACAAGTGCAATTTTTTCGTTAATTTATTTGTTCAAATTGGAAGAGAAAAGAAGGAAAAAAAGTTCTTTTTTTTTTTTTTTTCCTTTTTAAATGAAACACAATGTGTGGAAATGGAGTTGGCAAAAATTTTGCCAAATGGGAAAATTTGTACTCTACGCAAAAGCTACGTTGTAGAGTACCAAATTGGGGAGAAAAAAAAAAAATTGGTGCGACATGATAATGCAACGTTTAAGTAACGTGTTCGTCGCGAATTGTGTAGACTCGACGAAGGGTTGAAGTTGTTCATTTTGAATTCACTAATGATTTCCCACTGTTCCTTGTTTTCCTAAAATTCATCCCTTTACAGAGTCGCTTCCACCGGGATTTTTTCATTCGTGTGTGCACTGCACAATTATTCCTGGTTGTTTATTTCTCCATTTTTATTATTAACATGATTGTTTTGATTTTTCGTGTCTGAATTTCCCCCAGCTGGTGCACCTGCTTCTAACTTTTGGTCTACGTCATTTGGGTTCGCGGGATGGTGTGGGGGCATCCCTGGTGGTGCAGACGGTGGCATTGCGGGCGACATCATAGGTGGGGCTGAAGGAGGGACTGGTGGTTGGCCAAGCCCAGGTGGCATATACATCGTATGAGGTAGTGCCTGGAACATATTTGGAGGTAAATTTTGTGGAAATGGGGATCCTGGGAAGTTCATGTTAGGTGGATATTTCTGAGCAGAGCCCGGAGGAAGTGTTGGCATGTTTGGTGGAAATCCTAGTGGGCCAGATGAGGGAGCATTAGGTGGGGTAATACCAGAAGGCAAAGGTGGAGTGGGCATATTAGCATTATTTTGATTTACTTGAGAATACATATTAGCACCTGGTAGACCTGGTAGCATCATATTAAAATTATTAGGTAAGAATAAAGGCATAGGAGGCATGTTTTTCTTCTTCGAATCTACGGGAGCATTTGGTGATAAGTTACTTGTTGGTAATAATGGAGAATTAAATCCTGGGAAAGACAAATTTCCCATCTGGGCTTGCTGTAGGAATTGTTCCATTGTAGGTGCCATGGCAACTTGTGCCCAGTTTACTCTCTGTTGTCTTTTAATATTTTTATCTCCTAATTTTTGTTTTAATTTGTTTAAATTTTCTTCAATTATTTCAGGTGGAACTCCATCCATGCCTCTTATGCTAATTTCTGGGTCGTTTCTTTTAGGCAAAGCATGGGGTACCGTCTTTATGTTGGTTTTATGTACCTGCATCATGTGGATCACTAACCCGCTAGCTGTGTCTAGTTTCCTATTGCATTGCAAACATTTAAAATGTTTCGCTTTCTGATGCTGCATGAGGACCTTCTCATCATCGAATTCTCTATCACAGTAATAGCAAAAAGGCTTCAGTTCGATATTTATTTTTCGCTTCTTCCTCCCCATTTTTCTTTTTTCTTTCTCTTTTTTTTTTTTTTTTATTCTGCTTATTTCTCTGTTTCGTGTATGAGCGGCTTTTTAACAGCGGCCCCTTTTTGTTACGTGTATAAAACACAACTGGGACAAGTCACTGCTCTTGCGCTTCCACTTGTGGCCATATTTCTGGGGAGAAACTTCCACATGTAAAGATTTAAAATGTTCTGAAAAAATCAGGCAAGTATGTAAAAGTGCCCTGTTGTGTTTATACTCAGTGGCGACTGCAGAGCGTGCTAAAGAGTTTCCCTTTTGAATGATGTTCGCCCCATTGTTGTGGTTCCCAATTTAGCGCATACGAGATTAGGTAAATTCATACGTAACGTATAATACAAAGTCGTGTACAGAATGATTACGGAACGTCATCTATTTGTTTGCTTTTATGCGAAATTAATGTCAAAAAAAAAAAAAAAAAAAAAAAAATTCGCCTGAACACGTTGTATTTGTGGTGATTCTTTCCCCGGAAAAAAATTGGCCCTACGAAAAAAAAAAAAAAAAAATTTAAATGTTATTTTGCAAAGCAGGTACATTTTGTCACAGCTATCCGTTTCCCAGAGAGGAGAAGTATTCCACTGCAAGATGCACTTTTCACCTTTTTGTGCAAGTGGACTGTGCTACGTGTTCGCGAAGGATCCATTAGCAGTTTTCTCTCAGAAAGAATCAACAACAATTTGTGCGTTATTATCCACATGCATAAAGTGCAACGACTGACGAGAGCACTTTGCACATACCACGCCACACGTGTGACAAAGGATGTGTTTAACTTTTCGAACTTTTTTGCATAAAGGGCACATCAAAGGGGGACGAACAAAATTGAGGAATCTTCCCGCTTCACCATCCTTGGGCCACGTGTCCATACAGGGATAGCACAGCGGAGGTACACACTTGTTTGCGTACTCATGACTTAGAGGGACGCCAAGCCAACGCGTATGCAGAACGTATGCACGTACGTATGTATTAACGTTCTATGTCTGTCTGCAGTTATTCTTTGCTTGACTCGCCTCCCCAAAGTTTAAGCCTTATGTGGTTATACCCTTCCACAGCATGGCAATTGTAAATATGTGAACATCTCCCCATTCGCCACCTTCACATGGTGCTTATTTGGACAACCAGATGTCTACATGTACGTGCCATGTGCCAATCGGAAGGAGAAGAACAGGAGGAGAAATTTCACTCAATGCACTTATATGGTCTTATGTGTAGAGATAGGTTTACATGTGCATGTACAACCGTGGGGCGTACATTTTATCCTCTCAGAAAAAAAGGGAACACCCTGTTTGAGCGTTCCAACGGATGCTGCTTAATGGATGAGTAACGTCGCATTTCACGAAGGCATAATTGCTGTAACTGCATATCTGTGCGGATGTGTAAATGAGGGCCAATTATTGGAAACCCCCCCACAAAAAAAAAAAAAAATATGCAGCGGACAGGTTATCACAATATTAAACGTTACATACGAGGTGTATTTTCAGAGTACCCTTTTAACAGCGCGAAGCTTTAGTTTAAAACCCTGCAGGTGATTGTGGTGATTCTCTTAATTGGGAATGTAAGGGACATATTGGTTGGAGATCAAGAGGAAGGAGTGAGACATATGTGTGTAGGGGTAGACCTATATATATATGCGCAGGTAAATTGATGGACACCGCATTGTACAGCAAGAGGCAGTAACAATATGTATATCAAAATGGGGCCCCTTTGGCTACGCCGAAGCAGACGCTTCAGCACAGTGAGAAGTTTAATGAGTAGTTCATTCAACATTTACACAAACAACTGTTTAGTCCCTGCCAACCAATTCTTCAGTGAAGTTGTCTTAATGAATAAAAAACTTGCGTACTATGTAAACGATTATTTTGGTCTTCAGGGCTGGTCAAATAGTAGGGGAAAAAAGGTAGGGTGCCTTTTCCCCCCATGTTACTCTCAACTGCTTTTTCAATTTTGTGTATTAATGAACAATTACGATTATGTGTCCATTCCAACCCCTGTAAAAAAGTCAAAGCAGATAAAGCAAAAATATTCCTTTTACATAGCAGAGAATAACATTGATTTAATTCTATGTCATCCTTTCTACAAGCATTTTATTGAAGAAATTACTCTAAACTTGCAAATTCCTTTTTTAATATGTTATGATAGACCGGATGTTTTATCGCATGAGGAGTATTTGGAGGATTTGAAAGAAGGGAGGGAAATTTTTGGTCATAAGTTCATGTACCAGCCGAAGAAGGATGAACAATGGACGAATGGGCAAGTGGGGGAAGAGTTAAAAGACATGCAAGAGAGATATTTCATGGGAGGTGTTGGGGAAGGTACAAATAATTCTGTCACCAAGGGGATGATCTCCAGACAGAGTTATTCCGTTTCTGCCTTCCATTTGTACTTGTCGAAAGAAAACGAGTGTGACAAAAGCATACAATTTTTATCAAGCTGCATTTTCAATCAGTCTATGCATTTATCCAATTTCTTCAATTGGGGCAAACGTAAAAACACCACCGCTTTGATGTGTGTGCCAGCAAACAATATACATTATTTTGATGTTCTCTTTAGCCTGTTATTTTCTGGAGCCGTTGTTACTTTTCCCGAAGCGAGCAAAAAGAAAACGCTAAATTATAATAGCTATATGGATTGGTTTAAGGAGCATATGAAAAGTAAGGATAACAATTTTGCTGTTCACAATTTGCTAATTAAAAAGGACTTTACAAATGTTGATTTTGATTTTATTGATGGCATGAATTTATTTGAAGAACTATTCCATGTGAAGAAGCCCATAAATATTCTTATCTGTAACAATTATTTAATTCGCGATTTTCTTTTTTTTTTTAAAAACTCCGATATGGACATGGGAACGAAAAGGGAGTTTATCCAACAGAAGGCATCTCACGTGGAGACCATTCTCCTTAACGGAAATGAAATAATGCCAGGAATTAATATAAATTACGTGGAACAAATAAAAGACGTTTTCATCAATGCTAAAATATATGTGCGCTATGTAGTGCAAGAAGTAGGCACAGTGAGCATAATGGAGTTGGGCCAACTGGAGCAAGACAATATCCCCTATGAAAGAAAATTAGCTGGTTATGTTCTTCCAAGTGTTCATGTGAAAATTGATCCACAAACGAATGTCATGAAGATAAAATCAGATAATGTGTTTAGTCAGTATTACAATAATGGGAAACTCACAACTCAGGCGTTCGACCGTGGGGGCTTCTTCAAAACCAAGTATGTGGCCTCACTAGGGGACAACTCCCTTTTGAAAATCGAGGGTATACACAACGACATGGAAAACCTCCCCGACGAGTATTACCTCTACTTTAGGCAGCGCAGGGACAAGATGGAGAAGCACCCCCCCGGGTACCTCAAGCGTGTGCGCCTACAGGGCCAGATATGGGGCAACTTCCATGCGAACCGCAGAAACTGGAAGCGCAAGTTTTGAGACTGCAGGCCGGCAGCTTCAGGCGCGGCGGAACAATGTTCTGACGAAGCGGCATCAACGTTGACACGAAGATGACACGAAGTCGACACGAAGTGGAGACAATATTACGAAAAAAACGCACCAACTGGGACAAACGTGCAAACAGCACTTGGCCCCAATGGGATCGACGCGCACAACGATGAGTAGCCAATTTTATGACAGAAAGTGTAACCGTATCCTTCCTGGGCACTTTTTTTTCCCCCCTCCATTATTAAAAGTATTCCTCCTCATGGGCAAATTATAGCGTGGTCGCGATTTTCTGGAGAATCTCCTTAACCTGTTGACGGAGCTTCGTATGGCTGCTAATCACTTCGATGTCGTACTTTGTGTAGCATACCACTTTAGAGTTAATTGAATTGATGGTAATGCTCCACAAGTAGTTTTCAGTCTGCATGTCGGGGGTGCTGTCCTCTGAATGCTGCACTACTAAATCTTCTTTGCTGTAGCCACACTGGAGTAAATTATCAACAAAATCTTCTTCACGTATGGACCCAAACATGAGATTCATGCCCTTGTCGTTCATAAATTCATTACCTGTTTTTTTATTATCTACCCCCTTGCTCTGTGAGGCCAATTTACATATCTCCATTTGACCTTCCTTTATATAATCCCCGAAGAGTGTGCTGTTGTATGTACATCTGACCTTTGCGCAATGGAGGTTATCTACCTTTGTTAAAATTTTTTTCAAATTATTTGTTCCATCGACTGTAAAGGGGACAGGGCGCAAATTTGCACCCACCTGGGAAAATGTGTCATAAATAATTTCCCTTGTGCGTAATGGGTAAATGTAGATGATGCCTTTTGGGTTCACATCTGCATGTGGATTTCCATTTGCATAGTTTTCGTATGGAGGGTTGGTCCCCGTTTTATTGTAATTTTCTTCTTCCTCGTTTTTTTCTCCATCATTGTAGGTGCTTTTTTCGCCTACATGTGTAATGTCCCCCTGGATCCTTATCCGATGTGAACTGCACCCCTCCCCCAACCGATGGGGGAGTAGATACACACATTTTTTATTCGCGTTGGTGTTTATAATTTCCCAAATGTCTGTCTCATTTATATCCCAAGAAAGGGGGCAAAAAGAGACATTAATTTTTTTAAGATAGATGTGGAAAGGAGCCAATACTGATACAGGATCGTAGTAGGGATCGATTAGCAAGAGTGAATTGTTTTCTTCCATGGCCCATTTTTCTAACAAGGTGGAAGATTCAAAAAATCGCAAAGATGAATCTTGTACAAAACATACACATGGGTACCTGAACAATTTGTTTATATCATTTATATCATTTCCAGTAATTAGGCGATTATTTTTTATCATAATTTCAATTGAAAAAGGTCCTTGTGGGTTGGAAACTTTGCTGCATTTTTTTTTCCTCGATTCTTCTACCCATTCTGCACACAGATCTGCTTGGTGAATCACATTGCTGATGTTTCCTATTATGGTAAAGATTAGCACTTGTTCTTCTTTGGTTAAATATTTGCTAATAACTACGCCTATCAATTCTATTAACTCGAGGAAGTACAAAAAGTGCAGATCCACCGGGATCAGCACGCAGCCCTTGTTTTTGATGGTCCTCAGGACAAGGGAGCATATTTTATTTAGGCTATCTTTGTAGTTTTTTTCGACGTAGAAGTTTATCTTTTCTCTCGTTCTTTCGCGGGGGTCTCTTTTTGCTGGGTCACCCTCGCTAGGAACGCTTTTGTTTGATGCTTCCTCTTTTGAATCTACTCCGTTTGGGGGGTTATTTCCCCTCTGGGCAGGCTGCTCCGCATTTTTATCCCCCTTCATGTATGCGGTAAAAAGAACAAAGTCTGCCTTTTCCAGGCATGCCAAATCTAGAGGAGAGGGGTGCCTTTTAACATTATAGCAGCTTTTGTTAATAATGCATAAATTCATAAGGTCTGTCTTAACAAGAAAGTTGCAGCTGCCCAAGGAGTACCCACTACTGTAGGGAGTAATACAGAGAACTTCATCATTTTGTTGGAAGCTTATTTTTTCTTTATATGATAATAAATGTAGAGAATTTTTGAAGCTTAATTTTAAATCCAAGTATTCATGTGTGTTGAAATGATTATCTTTGCTTAAATTATGTTTGCTGAATTCATCTTCGCTAAACTTTTCCTTGCTACAAACTCCTTCTTCATTCCACGGAGGCAAGTAATTTTCCTTCGTCTGCAAATTCTCTACTGCGCTTAAGGCAAAGGTGAAGGTCAATTTTGTGCAAATTATATGCGTATCTGATACGTCGAAATATTTGCAAAATATTGGTAACCCCATGAAACATTCACTAGAGGAAATTAAAATGATGTGAATTTTTATTGGCACGCTACTTATGTTTAGTAATAATTTATTTGATAGAGCTTTTGTTTCCAGATTTGTTATACGTATGTATTTATCCTCCTGTGACTTGTCTTCATGTTCTACATTGTTGCAGCTTATTGTGCTTTTCTTAAAATTCAGTATTTCCTTTGGGTTCAAAGGTAAATCGCATAGAATATTGAATGACCCGATCGTTATTAGGTGACTGCTGACCTCTTCTTGGTCACACAGTTTGGTCACTTTGAAGGAGTCGAACATTTTGGGGGGGGAGTTTTATATGTGTATGATGACGGGATTTTCCTGGTGCGATACTTGGGAAAAAAAAAACAAAAAAAAAGCAATTACGGTAGCTCCCCTGCGCTATTCATTAAGATGGCCTGTCTACACCGGGCGTACGCAGGGATGTATGCACATGATTCAGCTCATATGAACATCATCCACATTCAAAAGCGCATTTGTGCCTTTTCCAGTGCGGCGCTTTTTTTATGTTAGTTCCTTGGCGGCCCTTTCGAACAGTCTGCATCCATCCCAAGGTTTCTGTTGTGTAAGGCCTTTTTTTTCTCTACTTCTTCCCATCCAACGAGCTTCACATCTGGGTCATTTGCAAGAAAAAAATGGTTGCTAAATATTACCCACTAGTTTAAGTCAACATATCAGCTAAAAGGGTTCATTTTTTAAGTTGTGCATTTGTACACGGTTTACACGCATGGGGAGGGCAACATGGCGAAATGGCTACCTCACTCCCAAAAAAAAAAAAAAATATTAAGTGATCATTCTTTTTTTTTTTTTTTTTTGGTTCCTTGCCCCGGCGATTATGAAAGAATTTTACTAATTTGCATTTTAAATTATTTGAAAAGGCGAAAAAAAACGCGAGTACAATTCACCATTGCAGGGGAGTTACAAAAAAATAAAGCCGAATTAATGTGCCTGTGGATTCGCTGCTTGGCCAATTGAATTACAAAAACGAATTTAAAAGAAACGCTGTTGTATGGCTAAATTTGCCTTATATTCGAATTGTCATTTTTTGTGTGCATATTATGTAAGCCACGTGAATATAGGGGTGTTCAAGCTTGCACGTACTTCCTGTTCCGTGTATAGGGACAACACCTACCCCTTTTGAAACATCAAATGAAAAAAAAAAAAAAAAAATGTGTGACAAATATTATTGCAAGTAAATTTTAACAGGACAAAATTGTTAATTAAAAATTAGTCAACAAACTTTTTACTTTAATGAGAAGTTACGGATGTAACGATGAGGTAAACACACAAAAAAAAAATATATATAAATGTATACACACATACACACACATATTTATGTGCATGTCAACATTTGTGCATGTACATGTCGAAGTATTCCTTTTCCACGTCATGCAAAGTGGGAGCACAAATGATTAAAGAGTGTAGGGGGCCATTGTAGCTGATCGACTTGAGCGTCAATAAGTCCCCCGATACAATCTGTTGACTGTTTGACCCTATGCGAACAATGGCAATGCCTCGTGTTTTATCCCTAATGACATTTTTTTTAAGAACTTCTTCACAATAAAGGAGTTGCTCAATAGCTTCGTTAATGGTCATATATCTGGAAGGCTCATAAATGTTTCTGTTTTTCATAATATTTTCTATAGTCCTTTCTTTTACTTTAATATCTAGTAAACATAAGGTGTGGAAATTATTGTCTAAGTTTACCTTAATTTTATCGTAAAAGCTGGTTGGTTTGTACGATTCCTCAAAATATGGAATGGACACAGTTTGCCCAAAGTTGTAAAGTTGCATTCCACTTTCTCCTATGGCTGACATGATGGATGCATTATGAATTACCTGAACATTAATATTTTTTTTTTTTGCGCGAAGGATAATATCGTGATGTGTAGTTGCACATAGTGGATCTCCGACAACTAGGAAGGACACTTTTTTATTTACTGCTTCTTCTAGTATTTCTTCACAATTTTCTTCTGCAAAATTTCTGTCTACTTCCTTAATATTTTTTTTGTAAAATTCTTCTAACACATTTTTTGAAACGAATAAAACGGACGTGTATGATTCTAAATATACTACGTCGGACATTTCGATCAGTTGCTTTCCCTTTACACTAACGTCCCTTTCGTCCCCCAGCCCTAGGCCGATAATGTACAGTACCATTCTGTGGGCACTTGTCGTTCGTTAGGGCGTTCCGAGGGATATACTCATGTGCACACGGCTGGGCGTATGTGAACGGTTATACACATGTGTGCGCGTGCGCTTAAATGGGTATACTTATATATATATCCGCCCTGGCGTATGTAATATAATAACGCACACTTCACGCGTTCGCCTTTTTTTTTTCCCCCTGTGGGAATTTCCTAGTTACAGTGCTCTGTTGCACTTGCCCGTTATTCAGTTCAAAAAGGATGCTCGGTATGCGGTTTAGCTCAAAGTGATTTTACCACCCACTTCATTGAACAGGAGCCTCGCCAAAAAATTTATCTGCCAAATGGTCTGCGAGTTCACATTTCTTACGAATAGCCTGCCGCATATATTTGGGTAAAATCTCTTCCTTTCGGATCTTCGCTTTACTAAGATGTACATACAGTTTATTCATATGGAGAAGCACAAATTGGAGTCAACTTGGGCATGGAATTAAATTATAGCATCCCTCCCCTCGTGTGCCGTTCGTTTAAGCCTTCCCTGTTTTGGCTTATAAAAGTAATAAACTGTGAACAATGCGATACAGATATTTGCCTTAAAAAACTGTTCCGCCGTAATGTTCGCCTTGTTGGTTACGTGCATTTTGGCCTTTGCTGCGTTTTTCCCATTTTTTTCTTTTCAAAGTAGATATACAAAAAATAAGGCTACAAAGTTGTAATTTTTTTTTTTTTTTCCTCCGACTCCGAGGCGCCCCCCTACAAACCATGCTTCTGATACCAGTTATATGTAATAATAAGAAAAAAAAAAAAAAAAAAAAAAAAAAATCAACTTTATTTATATAACAATATAGCGTTTTGCTGCTCCTTATTTTGTTTGTTCTCCAGTTTTCTTATCCTATCCTTTTTTTCTCCTTATAATAAGCTAAACGTGTGATATATTTCTTTGCCTTTGAAGGCTCCTACATATATGTAAGTACATTTATATATATATATATATATAATACCAAGTTTCACATGTAACCCTCCTCCCCCTTTTAAATGTCATTTGTTAGTTTTACTATTTGCACAGTTCTTCCCAATAATGAGCGACAACTTAGAAAAATTTTCTACCGTTGACCTGTTGAATGAGTTGAAAAGGAGGTACTCATGTTTAAATAAACCGGATGGAAGGTACATCTTTTTGGGAGCCCCTGGTTCGGGCAAGGTATGAACAAAAAAAAAAAAAAAAAAAAAATGTTCCAGCGCGTTGGGGGGAATTGCAAACGAGGATGTTTATCCTTTTTAGTTTGTTGCCCGATTCGTGGCATTACTGTTATAAGTACCCGCATGTGTAGTTGATCGTTTTTGTAGAGCGGACCAGTTTGTGTGTTGTGTATATATTTGCCTACCCACATATAGTTGTGAGAGTGATGTACACGATATCGCACAAGTGAACCACACACGTAATATTTTTGTCCATTATTTTTTCAAAGGGAACACAATCGCTAAATCTGAAGAAGTCGCACTGCTACTGCCATTTGTCTACTGGAGACCTACTAAGAGAAGCAGCAGAAAAGAAAAATGATCTGGGGAATAAAATCCGGAATACTATAAACCAAGGAAAGCTGGTGGATGATGACGTGGTGCTAACTTTGGTGGATGATAAATTAAAATCTCCACAATGTAAAAAGGGATTTATTCTTGATGGTTACCCAAGAAATGTGAAACAAGCAGAAGATTTAAATAAGTTGTTACAAACGAATAAAATAAAACTGAATGGAGTTTTTTACTTTAACGTCCCAGACGATGTACTAATCAAGCGAATATGTGGCCGATTAATTCATAAACCTTCTGGAAGAATTTATCATAAAACTTTTAATCCTCCAAACACCCCTTTTAAGGATGATATAACGAATGAGCCCTTAACACAGAGGGAAGACGATAACGAAGAAGTTTTAAAAAAAAGGCTTAACGTTTTTAAAAATGAAACAACTCCTTTAATTAATTATTATAAAAACAAAAATTTATTAATCAACTTGGATGCAACACTGCCTGCAAATGATCTCGAAAACAAGATATCACAACATATAAGTGGATAATCTGTGTACCTTTTTCTATACCTTCCTCTTGGCGCAGAGCTCAGAATTTTGTTTTTATAAAATGTGTCATTCCTTATCTATGGACATATGCGCACGTAGCATGTGTGGGTTGATTTTTTTTTTTTTTTTTTGCATCATTTTTAAAAATCGCAATTTGTGGCTGACATCTTGGTCCAAGGCGATTGCTCGCATCACCGAGGATAAAAATTTGGAAAGTTGCTTAGGTGTCTCTGTTCACGGACAGGGTTGTTCCCTTTTAAAAGGAAAAAAAAAAAAAAAAAAAAAGAATGTGCCCTTGCTGGGCCGATTTTTGATTGTGGTAATTATTTTTCATCTTTTTTTTTTTTTTTTTTTTTAATACTATTCCTATTCTTCCCCCTTCGTCTCTCCTTTTTTTTACATTTTGAGAGCATATTTACGAGGAGTCTATTTGAATTTTATTTGCACCCTCTTATTTTATTAATCGAGCTGTCGAAGCATTTAGAAAAACATGTCTCTCTTTCGTCATCCATTCATGTAGACTTTTTTGTTTTTAAAAAACTACAACGCACATGCGTAATATTAATTTAAAAAATGTGTAAAAAATAGCACAGGCCGCTTTGCACATGGTATAAAAACTGGACGACATGAATAATTCGCATTGTAATTTACATTTGCAATATTTTAAAAATGTGCCCATTAGGGGGCGTGAGCAGACAAGCCTTTTTCATTCCGTTGTAATGCTGTCGCGTTGCTTTTTGCAGGGAACAACGTTTTTTAATGCTACAGTTTTTTCCCTCATTCTGTGTTGAACGGAGCAGTTTTTTTTTTTTAAACATGCCCAATTTGTTAGCTAAGCCGCCTTTCCCTCTTCATCACATTTTATCAAATCGCCTTAAAAATAAAACATGCTGGAGAAATAAAACCTTTCACGGCACGCCGTCTATGAGAAGTTTTTTTACGTCATTTGGCTTTTTCCGAGTTTTAACGCGGGATTGGCGAGTAAGTAAAAATGCAGATATGCAATTTTGTACGTATAAATATACCATATATATTATGCGGCTAACCAGATGATGCATTTCTCCCCCTCTATTGTACATAGCATCACACCATATCAAAATAACATTTCATCCTATCGCACACATTCACTGCTTCGCCGCACAGTAAAATAAATCCCGCCAATGACCATTTCTTTCATTTTGACGGGAAAGTTAAAGTCACATACAGTACACCCCATGCTGCGATGCTTTACAAAAATTATTGAAAATAAATCTCAGCCAATAATTTAGATTAGCATTGTTGCAAAACTCTGCATTAGCAGAGCGGCCACACGATGCTATAAAAAAGAACAACGAAGAAAAGAGAAGAGTGTTAAAATGGAGCAAAATAAAATACGCCTTTTTCTTCACCCTGAAGAGAATGGGAAGTATATTATTTCTGTCGGAAACAACGCAAAAAAAAGCGTAAAAAAAAAAAAAAAAAAACAGTGGCACATAAACATAAAAATGTACATTATTATGTATATAATAAATATTATAAACTTTACGTACAAATTCTTTACGGTACAAATTCATACGCACACATACGCTTGAATTTTTTTGCTCCGTGAGGCTTCTTTCAGATCGCATTTTGTGAACATGCAAGTGCAAATGCAGCGACTAGCAACTGTAGAGTTGCTAAGCCAAGAAAAAAAAAAAAAAAAAAAAAAATGAAAAATGCAACGTTTCGCTCTACATATTATTTTATAACAACCCTTTATATATAACACCACATGTACTGTAAAACTTGGGTACGTGTTTATGTATATACAACTACTGTTATTTTATAATATATTTTTTTATTATATTCCATATATATTATTTATGTACTGGTGTAAGGAGAAAGTTTTGTTTGCAATATTATGTTACTATTTTTTTTTTTTTTCTGCGCCTCCTCTCCTCTTTCTTGCCCTTCTCTTCTTTTGTACGAAATTATTGCTAAGAATTTATGTAGAGAAAGTTTTACATTCACACAAACCGTTAGTTAATATATTTTAATTTTTGTTTTTTTAATAAGTTATATATGTTTCTGTTATTCTTATGAAGAGAAATCATTCTCTAGATTATTGAAATTATTTTTATTTGATTTTGAAATTTGTCCACGTTTTTATTCACTATTATGAGGAGAACGAATTTTTTTTGTTTCCATTTTTTTTTTTTTTTTTTTTTTTTTTTTGAAAAAACCTTTTTTTCATTCTTCAACACCTTTTTTTTTTTTTTGTTGAAACAAGCCTTTTCACTTATTAAGTGTTAACTATTTCGTGACCTGGTTGTGGCTAAAAGGAGAGTGTATTATTGATTTTGTGATAATAGTTTTTTTTTTTGTTCCCCTCAGTTTTTACATTTATTTTGTGATTTTTTGTTTAATGCAATATTTTAAAATTCGTCAAACTAGGTTTAAGATGTCTCCATTACTTTACAGAATGGCATCCTAGTACGGAATCATTTTCCTTGTCCGTAGGAGAATGTCCGTAGTGGTCGCTCACCTATTTTTCGCCTAACAATCAGCGCTCCTTCCGCCACACATCAGCTAAACCTAACATGTATATATGATGAACAATTTAGCTTCCCCAAAAATGTGAAAAAGCAAAATATTCACATTTTAACATGCCGAAGTTGAAAAATAGAAAAAAGAAAAAAAGGATATTATAGAAAGATGAATTTTCAAAGAAGTCGTTTGTACAGAGATGTAGTCTTATCATTGTTTGTTCTGCTATTTGTTATAATCCTGGTAAGCAAACAAAAAAAGAGAGCGTGTAGTACATGTGCTATAAAAGGAGCTATCTCCATTTGATTCATATTTTTTTTTTTTTTTTTTTTTTTTTTTTTTTTTTTTTTTTTTTTTTTTTTTTTGCACGTGTTGTGCAATTTGGCGAAATCGCTATCGCGTTAATATATCTCCTGTCCCCCGAGTCACCTTGTCATTTATTACATTAACAACTCTTTTGCTCTTTTTTTTTTTGTTGTAGAGTGATATTTATATACTAAAATCAAGCACCTCTCCATGGAGAACGTACACACGATTTCATGATAGTCGATCAAGACAGTTATCAATATTTCCATACGATCTGGACAGAATCGGTGACCAAAAATTTAAAACGAGGGAAGAGAAGGAAGCATATGAATATTTGCTGAACATGGTAGAAACAAAAATGTTGAACGATGAAAAAAAACGTCGCTCGCGTGATGTCTCAAGGGCTTACTCCATGCCATATAGATTTGATGAAGAAGATGTTGACAGGAAATTATCCAAAAAGGAATTAAAGAGACTTATGAGATCCTTTGGTCCACTAATATCTGAGCATGATATGTATACTACTTTTTATTATTATCACGATTATTTACAACGTCGTTTCGCTCAGATGTTAGTTAAGTTAGAAAAGCTGACCTATGAGTTAGGCTCGAAACGTACGATACCCGATGAAGATTTAAATGTGCTGTGGCTGGACTGCAAAAGGAAGTTGAGCAGATTTCTGTGGGTTTTGAATCATCAGGCCCTAAAAATATTTTTTGAGTTTGCTAGGGATGCTCCCTTTGAAGATACGGCAAGGTTTAAAAAATTCATGTCCAATTTTGTTAATAAGTGGAAAAAGCATACACGCGAAAAAAGCAAAAAGTGGGTAGGGGATATGACCAAAGAGATAAAAAAATATAAAAGGCGTAGCTTGTTTCAGTGGTGAGAAAGAGGAGCACAACAGATGAGGAAAAAATCAGAGCAAAATGGAAAAAAATAAAAAATCGCATTCAATTAATAAACAATAACAATTTGATATTCTCATTAGTGTAAGCTAAATCACATCCGACAGGAAACTTTTTTTTTTTTTTTAAAAGAAAGCACAAACTGTATATTTTGCTTTCAACTGTTTTGTATGCACCATTGTGTTATATTTCATGAGTAACGAGATGACAAGTGAAGATACACGGGGTGCAAAAAAAAAAAAAAGACCGAGATTTTTTTCATCTGCAGTCTGGTATATAATTTTTAACTATCCAAAATATGGTGGACGCTTTAATTCTATTTCCTTTACCTTAACATTCAACCCTGTTTGACAGCGATGGCATGTGTGTAGTACATTCCGGGGTGTATAATGTCATGATAGAGGAAGGATTCGTTTCAAGACCACCCAATTGGAAATTGTATGCGTGCACTCACACGTATGCAAATATACATGTGCGTATATATGTGTACGTGCATGTGGCACCTCGCGCATCCCAGCTTTACTGTGGGAGCGCACGATATGTTTTACCGCTTTGTACCGCGACACCACGTGTTGTCGCGTATTCTTTCCTCCCTTAGTACCCTTTTTCACTATTGTGATTTTTTTTTTTTTTTTTTTTTTTTTTTTTGTAAAATTATTTTTTTATCTTACAAAAAAAAAAATTCATACTCTTTCAAATTCTTTACATATCACAATTTTACACATGTTTGCAAAGCAACAAAAAAAAAAAAAATCACGGGAAGAAAAAGGATGGCATTCATATGTGGCATATATGATATGTTTATAAATATTAGTAATAAGACGATTACACTGATGGCAAAAAAGCAGGATGCCTCAATTTGGTCATTATCTTTTTTATGTTTAAAGGGAACCATGCCAGACGGGCTTAATTTTGCGCCACTTCCTTTTTAAGAGCAATGGAAGAATTCAGCCAACTATTTAATTGATAATGTGCAGAGAAGATACGGTACATAGGCATATATTTCTCCTTCAGAGGAACTATAAACTGAGTTAAATTGAACCATGTTTATTTTCTCTTTCGTTGCGTTTACATGCCACTTTGTTCCCTCTACACTTAGCAACAGCAAAATACATTTGGGTATGTCCCATCTTGTCACAACATTGTCATTCGATTTTGCGGGAAAACCAAATTCATTCATATGTTGGAAAGCACTTTACACGTTCGTGTTGCTTATATGCATAATTTTTTTTTTTGCTA